AAACTCTTCATCAAACCAAGACCATCAAATCAAAGTGAGTTCATACCCCCTTGTTTTTTATTTTTACTTGTTTTTAGGGGATAATACAAGTTGATTTGTGTAGATCTATGTATATATGCATGACTATGTGTGTGTTTCCATGAATTATTTGGTGATTATGTGTTGACTTCTTCATTAATCTAAAAATATGTTAAGAACTTGAAGTTTATCACTTGGATCTTCATAAGAACCTTGAGAAAAGTATGTTTTTTCACATATAATACATTTAAACTAGGAGATCTGAGATTTATACACTTTAAATAGCAAAAATGAGTGTTGTGTTGTAAGATCTATAAATTAAACTAATGAAACAGCCCTTGACAGGAAAGTTTTGGTCCAATCTCGTATTGTTTTGACCCTCTTAATGGAAGTACTTTTCAAAAGTATTTTACATGGATAACTTTCAGATTTATACCTTTAAAAATGACTACTCTCACGTTTTCATACGATTTTTCTACAATTTTGGGAGAATTTTACAAAACTGCCTATCAAATTTAAAATACTTTCGGACCAGCCTGTGAAGGTGAGTATTTTCACACTTGTTAAAAGTCAATAAAAATTATGATAAAAATTAAGAACAAAGTACAAAATATTTCCAAAATTCCAAAATTTATGGATCCAAATTTCTACTTACGATGATTTTTCTACAAATTTTCCAAAAACTAGGTCGGAAAGGCCCAAACCCAGAAAAATGTGTATTTCCACAAAAATCAAACCAAAAATGATATTTTGACAAAAATGGGTTTAAAATGTTATTTTTATCACAAAGTAGTCATCAACAAAAGTTTTTAACAAAATTAGAGATTAAAGTGTTATTCATATGCCTGCTGTATGTGCTTCTTGAGTTGCATGATAGTACTAATCAGTTAACGATAGGATAGTCTGTTTAGGTTATGCCTGATTGTGTGAGCCTTAGAATTGCATGCCAATATAGATCCCTGACAAGAGAATAGACTGATTTGATTGAAATATGTTGGTCAGACTTTCCATTGTCTGAATGTTGCTTGCTTGGTTCTTTGTGGCACTCTTAGTAATGTGAGATAGCTACTAAGTGAACATGCTAAGTCGCATGCGGCTATATTCATGAGGTAACTAGTTGAAATTAGTGGGAAGTCCTTCAACAACTGAGGACTGGGTGGGTACGAGAACCTAGGAAAGCCTAGGTAATGCCTTAGTGGGTTTGGTTGCGTTGTTAGTGAGGGTTGGGTGCATCAGTTTGAGGAAGTGACTTGGAGGATTCGGGAGGATTGCTGATGAAAGTATGGATAGGTATGGAAGGTAGTATTTGCCCGTACTACTGAAAGCACAGGATCCATACTCGATTCGGTGAGAGTCTTGGAGAATCTGAGAAGCTTCGGGGAGGAGCTTGTGACCAAGTTTGGAGACAGAGGATGTTCTAGTTGTTGCAGCTTAGCCATTGGCAAGTGAGCTATTGAGCGTGATAGAGTGACAGACCCTGAAGGATATGAATTCCAGGAGTTTGCAAATGCGAGATTGGTTTGGAGTGCCCCGGGAAGAGAGGGTCGTGCCAAGTGAGTATAGTATAGGGTCCCGAGAAGAGACCTATAACTTCTGATCATCGGGTGAAAGGCCAGCGAGGCCGGAGTGAGTGCAACACGTATGGAAAAGTGAACAAGGGAGTTTGTCGCTCCAAGGATTTAGGCTGCTACAAGGTAACGGGGTTGATCATGTCAGCAAAACGTGATAAGGATTCTTGGGTATATTCGGATCTTTGAAATGTCAGTTTGGTTTGGTGTTAAACACCCAAGAATGAGATTTATATTTTGGTTCCGACTCAAGAGCAAGGCCTGGGCCAGTCGATGCACGATCACAGAAGTTCATTTCATCGGAGATTACTTGCAAAGTTATGGGAATGGACCTCGGTGGTCTTTCGTTCAGCCAAGGAAGGACTTTAGGAGCTCTCGGTAGTCGTCTCGGCGCCTTTTGGGCAAGATTTGTCGTGGGGAAGTTAGGGGTTCATTTGAAACCCAAGGTCTGTGGATCCTTAGAATCCTTTGGGAAGGAAGATCCTATAGTTAGTTCTTGTCATCAAGATCAGGATTTCGACAGTTGATCGCGGGTATGTCATCTTCTGCCACTTCAAGGTGGATATTGGGAATCTGTATCGCATCAGAATTGTGAGAGAGTTGGATAAATCAAATCTTGGGTTAGTTCTCTGCTGTTGCTCGGGATTATCAAGGATTGTTATATGCCATTCTGCATGCTGAAAAGTCGTTGATGAACCTACAGAGGAACGTATCTTGCGGAGTGGGTTCGACGTGTACCATTATCATTCCGGATATTTGTCAGGATCTGTACAGGAGTAGTGTTTAGAGGATATCAAGTCAGGTATAGAGCGATAATTCCCCAGGGAGGTCAGAGTTTAGTGGCTCTATCATTGTTTGGGTATGGTCGTCAACTATTTATGGAAGAACTTTGGAGTTCAAGGCACCACCGTTGCTAAGAAAGGATAGGTAGCATGAAGATGGTAGTGTTAGTTGTGGGGATTAGATGCATAAGTGTTCGGTCATTGGATGTTCAAAAGAATTCTAATTTTGCATGGGTTGTGTTCGGTCAGAGTATAGTGGTGCTGCGAGATTGGGAGTGGAATCAGGGATTCGTCAGTTGGGATGAAGATTGAGGCCTCCACTTGTTAGCATTGGAGGTGGACTAAGGTGTTAGATTGGACCAGGTTTCAAGAGTACTCTTCAAGATTTCAAAGGATGGGCGACCTTAGGGTGTAACTGGTGATTGATCGCTAGCATTAGTAAGCACAGGTTGTCATCAGTGGGATATTAGAAAGCGAGAAGGATTGGGAATCCTTCAATTCTCACGAGTTGTGAAGATTTAGCCAAAGCTAAGTGGGGGAGAATCGATTAGGTAACTAGCAGCAGAAATAGGTGTGAAACCAGGACGGGTTTCGCATCCCCGTTAGGGGGAAAGGCGGTCGAGTGGCGTAATAACTTGTGTCAAAAAATATATGTAATATATATAATCTGATTATATCAATTTAAAAGAAAGAAGATTAGTTTACAATTAATGGGTTAATTATATACAAATTATGAGGCTTAATAATCAAACCCGTCACCTTGATTGGGCCAGTTAAATACGAGCAAATGAAAGGGTTTCGTCGATTTTAGACTTAAGCATTATATATAGCTCGAAAAGTAGAGTGGAAACCCCACTGGAATTGTAAGAAACGACTGATATTCGAAGGTGAAATTGGGTCTGGAAGTTGTTAAAGATATTCAGAGTTCTTCTTGAAATTGAGGTATAACCACTCGATTTAAGCTTGATTAAGTTGCTTGATTAGGTTTGTCTGATTCTATTATGTGTTTTGGTTCCATATCACGTTTCTGTTGGGGCCAATAGTGATTCATATGATAAAAAAAAGTTAGAATGTTAAGTTCTTGAAAAAAAATGAGTAATGTCTTACCTGGGTGAATTACTGAAAATTGTTTATGGGTATATGTTTATACGATATGGAGATAATTAGAAGTGATTTTACATATTTATTTGCCATTTTATTGGGTTAAATCAAAAGCTTCAGTTTTTCTATAAAAATTGTGGAAAAGAAACAGTAAACGGGTTAAGAAGAAGAAGACGTCGGGCTGCTTGTTGGTATAACATTCAGAAAAAAAAAATACAAAAAATGCATAAAGAGTGTCAAACGTAGTTGGTCAAAGTCTCTAACCTGACTCATTCTTCGAAACTACATACTACATATGTGGTCCTTTGTTTTCTTATGACTTGTCGTTTCTTTATTTCCAACTTACAAATGGTTAATTTGGAACGTACAAAAGATGTCAAACATGTTTACCATATGTTTTCTTTTCTTTTGTTCAAATGCGTTAAGATTATGGAAATACCATTTTTTCGAAGAAATACATTATTTATTGTTATATTAAGTATTTTCCAATATTAACGATTAAAGGAGAAACCTTGTTATTTAATTATATATATATATATATATATATATATATATATATATATATTTCGAGAAGGTTATTATAAACATCGTATTCAACATATTTAAATAACAATCATTATTTTTGTCGAACGAAACACGTGGATATCGGAACCAAAATGATCGCATAGGATGTTTTTCTAGAATTGTTGCCTTAGGAAAATTTGTTGGTGGAATGTAGGGTGCGTGTAGCGTGTCAAGCTTTGGTTAAGACCTAAATGCCAACAAGGTGAGTTTCGTATGAATTTTGTGGTTGCTTGCATCAAAAGTTGATTCTAAATTATTTGCAATTATATGTTACTGTTGTTTTTGCTATGAAACTGTGTGTGAAATTTTATGAATTATTTCATATAAAAGGGTGAAAACGGTGGGTGACATATATCGAGGGAACTTGTGTATTTACACGGTCTTATTATTAGTCACCGTACAGGGTGTTAGTACGCGGCGGAGAGCTTACGCTCTGTTTATCTAGCCGTAAGCATATTTGTTGTGCCCGGTGGAGGGACTTGTTCCTTGAAAATGACAGTAGTTCCCTAATGTGTCATCAAGGGTGGAAAGAAATGAAAAGAATTATATTGATAAATTGTTGCATTATTTTTATTTAATGGACGTCAATATGCATGAAAACCACGAAGTCACTAGGCCCTAGGCTTACCCATTAGAATCTTTAAATGCACGCAACCCAGGAAATAACGTAGCTAGTGGCAGCGGGAATGGAAAGGATAAAGTTCAGACTTGAAGAAGGCGACAAGTTTTGAGGAAGACGTAGCACACCAAGTGTTTAATTAAATTTCTATTTGCTTCGACTATTATTATTAATAATTACATTAGTATTTGAATCTTGATTTTTGGAAGTTTTGGGACCATGTTAAGTTATATTTATATTTGAATTTGGGGCATTACAAGTTGGTATCAGAGCGTTCTTTAAGCAGATTAGTCGTTGATTTAATGCTTAAGCTTAAAACGGGAGGAGCGGTACATCGCCTAATCTGGAATGCGTCTCGTTGTAGGTACTATGGATCGTGGAAAGGAAGTTGTCGATGGTGGGGTGTCAGTTGAGGGTACTACTGGGTTACTTCCTCACGAGAAGTTGAAGGTCGAGTTAGAGCTCTCTGATTTGGAAGACAGTCTGGAACCAACGACCCCACTCAACCTCTTTTGAACGGGATGAAGAAGACGAGGATGTGGAATCCGAGGTGGAGCCCAAAGAAGATCCTGAGGAGAAGCCCGAAGAAGACCCTGATGAGGAACTTGAAGAAGACCCCGAGGAGGAACCCGAGGGAAATCACGTGGAGTACCATGTGGAACAAAGATACGAAACGTTCCATATGCCCTATGTGGAGTACACGCCAACTAGTCTTGGTACCTATTGGGAGTGACTTTATAAAGATGAAATGCCACAGGCACAACTCGAGATTCACATTTGTAAAAGAAAGATTGAAGAGATAGATGAACATAGGTCAAGGCTCGTACAGGAGAACCAAATAAGGGTTGATACTACTGAGAAAAGTAAACGCAAGATACGAAAGTTGGAACAGGAGGCGTTGGAGCTAAGGAAACCAACTATCACTAAGTTGTGGAAAGGGATTGTGGCTCGGTCAAAACAAGCCAAGGCTGCGACTTACAGATTCCTAGATAAGGTGGTTGGAAGAGAACCACCTCAGGCCGAGGTGCTGGTCATTCTGAGTGGTCCCGGAGATCGAAAAGCTAAAAAGATAAGGAAGTACTTGAAGGAGGGAAAGAGAATATTGAAATATGATGACATCGTTTTTAAAAATTAGAAAGTAGGAGTGCAATGATTTGTCCTTTTATTATTATTTCTCTTGGTTGTTGGCTTGAGTGACCTGATGTGAACAAGACATATGTCTATTTTTGAAGTTTTAATAATTTGGAATAAAATTTATGTTTGTTATAATTATTGTGTTATAAACATAAATATGTAGTTAATATGTCTTCACGAAGATCTGGGAGGTTCACTAGGGTCACTCCGGAGGAAGAACGCATCCCAATTGGAGCTTATGTTAGAGCACCAGGAGATGTTCCAGAAACCCCACTGAACCCAAACGCTAGTCATGGACGGGGCCAAGGAAGAGGTAGGGGCAGAGGAAGAGGCCGAGGGACTGTTATAGCACCAATACCTATACAATCGGCCCATGGTAGCTCTGGATCCCACCGCGGTCGAGGTCGAGGTCGTGGAAGGGGTCGTGCGGAAAACACGATCACTAGAGAGGAGTTGGCTGATGAGATTGCTCGAGCAATTTGAGACACTTTACCAGATGTAGTTGCTCAGGCACGAGAAGTAATAATGGGTGAGTATAAAGGTAATTTGGGTGGAGGTGAAGAGGACTACAAGTACAGTACACCAAATATGAGTCGTGAACCAAGTATTGCACAATCCACAAGGCATCATCGCAACCACGATCGGCGGGGTTGTAGTTACAAGATGTTCATGAACTGCAAGCCACCCATTTTTAATGGAGAAATTGATCCCGTTTTGTCATCAACATGGATCATGGAGATTGAGGGAACGTTCGATACTAGCAAGTGTGCGGATGAGGACAAGGTGATTATTGTTGCAACAATGTTAAAAGGGGAGGCAATACATTGGTGGGGCATGGTGAAGGAGGTTAGGGGGCGTGAGGCAGCCAAGAATATGTCATGGGATGAGTTCCTAAGAATTTTTAAAGAAACGTTTTGCCCACGTACAACGGTTAAACAGTTGGAGGAAGAATTCTTGAGGTTGGAACAGGGGAATATGATTGTGTGAGAGTACACCGGTAAGTTCACGAAGAAAGCTAGGTTTGCTGAATTTTACATTTCTACAGAAGAAAGAAGGGTGGAACGCTATATATGGGGATTGAGAACAGTTATTCGTGAATTTGTGCAAATTCAAAAATCAGGTACTTTCCATTCTGCTGTTGATGCTGCAGAAGGTCGTGAACGTGAGAAGAATCGTCAAGGGAGGGCTTTGGGGAAAAGAAAATGGGATGGTACGAATAATGATTCGAAGAAAGGCAAGACTTTAGGGCAAGAACGTAAGGTTGATCATAGCTCTGGAGTAAAGCAATGTCCGAAATGAAAACATTATCATAAGGGGGAGTGTAACATGAATCAGAAAGTTTGATACAAGTGTGGGAAGCCAGGGCACATAGCCACATAATGTAAGACAGGAAGGGTATGCTACGGGTGTGGTTCCCCTAACCACATTAAGTCGGAATGTCCCCAGAGTAAAGGTAACAACAATCAAGGCAGGATAACAGACAATCGGTCGACGGATAAAAAGGCTAACACTGATAGACCAAAAGCTAGAGCTTTTCGCATGATGGCTCAGGAGGCTCAGGAGACCCCGGATGTGGTGACAGGTACTTTCCTAGTAAACTCAATTCATGCTAGGGTGTTATTTGATTCTGTTGCAAATAGATCTTTTGTGTCTACTACTTTTTGCAAAAAAACCTGGGTAGAAATGCAAAGACTCTAGAACATGCCTTAGAAATTAAAACTGTTGACGATCATTGGGTAGTAGTAAGAGAGGAATATGATGATTGCTCTATCGATATAGAAGGTAGTGTGCTACCGTTAAAACTATTACATATAGCCCTAGGTGGTTTTGATATTGTTATAGGGATGGATTGGTTGTCGAAAAACCAAGTGATTATACATTATGAAAATAGGATTGTTTAAGTTTGGGTGCCAGAAAAAGGAATGGTAAAGATTTACGGTGATCGGCGAGTTCATGACTCTATTTTGATATCAGTGACTAAGGCAACTCATTGTCTAAAGGAAGGGTGTCAAAGTTATTGGGCATATCTTCTCGATGCCAAGCAGGACAAGCCTGAAATAACACATATACCAGTTGTACGCGAGTTCCAAGATGAGTTCCATGATGACCTAACTAGCTTGCCACCGGATAGGCAAGTGGAGTTTCGAATTGATCTTACCCCAGGAGTAGCACCGATAGCTCGTGCACCCTATCAGTTAGCACCAACCGAAATGAAGGAGTTGATGGCTCAATTGCAAGATTTGCTCGACAAGGGTTTTATTCATCCCAGTACCTCACCGTAGGGTGCACCAGTACTATTCGTCAAGAAGAAGGATGGGACAATGCGAATGTGCATTGACTACAGGGAGTTAAACAAGGAGACTATAAAGAACCGGTATCCATTACCGAGAATTGATGACCTATTCGATCAAATCCAGGGGGCAAGTTACTTCTCATAGATCGATTTGTGGTCGAGGTATCACCAGCTGAAAGTCAGAGAAGAAGATGTGTCGAAGGCAGCCTTTCGAACTAGGTATGGTCATTACGAGTTTTTAGTAATGCCATTTGGTTTGACCAATGCACCAGCTACATTCATGGATCTGATGAACCAGGTGTGCAAGCCATACCTAGACAAGTTTGTAATTGTATTTATCGATGACATATTGATATACTCTAAAAGTAAGGCAGACCATGAGCAACATCTGCAGCTAACACTTAGTTTATTAAGGAAAGAAAAATTATTTGCCAAATTTTCGAAGTGCGAGTTTTGGCTACGGGAAGTCCAGTTTTTGGGACATGTTGTAAACGAACATGGTATCAAGGTGGACCCAACAAAGATTGAGGCGATTGAAAAATAGGAACCACCAAGAACCCTATCAAAGATTGAGGCGAGTCGGCTAAGGGGACTCGGTGAGTCTGGTCTGAACAAGGAAAACCCTAATCCTGGGAGTTGTATCCTATATAAAGGGTGTTATGTCCCTTCCTCAGCCTCCATATCATCCTAGAGAGCATGTAAACCCTACAATTCGTGTGAGCTTCCATCATTTGAGAGAAATAACTTTGGAGGAGGGAACCTTTGAAAGGAAATTGAAGATCAAGAGGGTTGCGTCAAAGGAGAGGTGTAGATCCGAGATCTACTTCAGTTTATGTTCATCTTGGAGGTAATAAGGTGCTATCTTCCCTCCTTTGCATCTAGATCAATTTTTGTTATGAGATTTGGGGGTTTTATGGTTGTTTGAGACCCAATTCGGATTTGGGGCTTAGATATGTGGTTTCCACTTTAGATCTAGTGTTGGGATGGTCCAATATGTCGTAAAGCATCAGATATTGAGTAGTTAGTGAAGCCCTTTTGTCCTAAAACCTAGCCCTAGAGTGTTTTGATCCTAGATCTCTTTAGTTATACGTAAAGTTTGCAACTTTACGTAATGATTGAGCTTTGGAAGTATGGATCTATGATTTGGATCCTCTGCATGGCTCGAGAAGCCACTGAATGGATTAACTAGAGCGACTCGGCGAGTCACATGGGTGGACTCAGCGAGTTTGATGAAGTTGGGTAGGAACTCGATGAGTTGGAAGAACAACTCAGTGAATTTGTTGAAGATTGCCTTGGACACGGCGAGTCTGTTCTTGGAGTTGGCGAGTCAAGTCGTGAAACCCCAAACCCTTCAAGTTAAGACTCGGATCAGTGAGTTGAGTGGGGACTCAGTGAGTTGGACAGGTCAGGACTCCGAAATTAGTAGACTCAGCGAGTTGAGTCGCCAATGGAAGGACTCTGAGCGTGTGAACTCGACGAGTCAGTAGGTAGACTCGGCGAGTAGGGTGGACCTAGAAGGTTGACCTTGACCAGGACTTTGACTTTGACCAGAGTTGAGTTAGTTGACTTTCAGAGGATAGTTAGACTAAGTGTTGCATTGATATTGGTAGCTTGGGAAGCTAGTGGAGCAGGAGTTCAAAGAGTTGTCGGGCATCAGCTAGAAGGGTCATCATCAGCAAGTTCAGCAAACGCATGTGAGTTTCCTTTTATGTGAATGGGTCTAAGGCCATAATGTCAGCCCATGTAGTTATGAGTAGAAGACCTGGGGTTAGCCCTAGGTACAGTATGCTAGTATGATATTCAGGACGAGGTCCAATGATAGCAGGCAGGTGCCCAAGGAATGGTTTATGTGATAGTTTATACTTGTTGTATGTGTGATACATGTATGTGCCTGGTAGGGAGGTGAGTGTGGGCGAGGTCCCTTATCTCACCAATAGCATAATGTGGACGGTGCTCCACATCTCATTAGCAGCAGAGTAGGGGCAAGGCCCAAGTTAGGGAAAGAGTGAGTGTGGGTTGGGCCTGTATCTCACCACCAGTAAGGGTGTGGACGGGGTTCCATGACTCATCAGTTACAGGACAAAGGTGAGGCCCAAGATAGGTGAGGCCTCAGGATAGGATTTATGAGTATATGTTAGCTTATGTGATGTTATATGCTTATGTGCTATTATATGTTAGCGGGTGGGGCCTAGTGACAGGCGAGGCCTAGGTTAAACAGATATGTATCCGAGCGGGGCTCGAAGCCAGGCGAGGCCTGGAGCGGTGGGGCCGTTGTAGCGGGCGAGGCCCAGAATAGCGGCCTAGTA